TTTAAAATTTTATTAAAAAAATTTATATTTTAAAAAATTTTGCAGGCAAATTTGGCTGCAAAACAATTTAAGAGATATCGATTATATAAAGCCTCCCCAAAATAAAAGTAGCTGGTGATAAGATCACGAGATGTATCTTTGTTTTTAGATTCAGCACTATCAATCCTATCAGAAAGTTTCAAAAAAATACCCCTGGTATCAGTTGTGTAACTTCTTTCCTCTGAGCTTTTATCAACAATGGGAATATCAGTTAATAATTCTTCTATAAGTTGTTTTAGTGTACTCAAGACCTTTCCACCAACTTTTTTTGCTTTCTTGTTAAAGGATTTTTCTGAAGAGCCACTAGAACATTTTTTCTGAGCAGTACTTAACTCTTGGGTAACAGTTACTATAACACTATTATCAATTTCTATATCAGTTGGTAGACATATAGGACATAGTTTTTGTGGATTATCGATACAATTGTAATGGATGATATGTTTGCAGGTTAAGTATATGAGTGGTTTCGAGGGACCTTGAAGTTGAGGAGAGAACTGAAGAAAGCCTATAGGTGGGAGATATGAAGAAAGATCTTCAGAACATTTGGCACACCTCAAATTACTTTTGACTTGTTGGGTTGCTGTATCCTTGATCCTTTCCATCTGTATAGGTGGTGAAGATAGAACAAATGCTTTGCCCATCAAAGGTAAAATTTCAGTTGATCGGGAGGCCTTCTTGGGATCAGTAAATGGCAAATTGGAAACAGTACCAAGAGGATTGGCTTGATCTAATATTTCTACATTCTTTCCACAACCCAGGAATGAACATGTGTTTAGAACAGTAATTAAAAGCTTTTTTTCGATACAGAGTCTATGAAAAAGATGTCTGCATGCTAATGCTTTGAGAGGAGATATTAAAATATCATTGTCACATTCGGAGCATAGCCCTAGTTCTGTAATTTTTTTACTCTTAATAATGCTATCCTTGAAGGTTTTTAGAATATTATATGTGAGATTTTTGATGTTATTAATAGGAGCAGTTGATGTGGAAGTAGAGGTAGACATATTCAAGAGTAAAATTTATGTAATTAGATTTGTATACATTAATATAAAGTATAACCAGATAAGTATTTCACAATTTTTTTATACTTAGCTCATTTTTATATATTAAACACCCTCATGATTAAAAAAAAATAGTTTGCAGATTTTATGAAATCTTATTTCGGATTTGGCGATCTGTTCATTCATGAATTAATTAGTATGAGCCAGGATAGCTAGATCTTCGATAGCAATTGTGAAGAAAGAAGTATATACTTCATAGATTTTTATTTTATATCAACACTTTTATACCTGTGTTAAAAAATCTTCTAAGTTACCTCAA